ATTACTTTTGTACCGCGTTACTCCCAACACTGGATCCCAGTGATGTCAAAAATCCATTTGACTTACTGAAAAAGCAAGACAGAATTGTTATGTTAATTATTTGTTTTTTTTATTTGGACCATCCTACCACGACCATTTTTGACCGTGGACACCACGTTGCCGCCGGACCAATATTTGCTGGGATGCTATGTTGAACTACACGTAACTTATTGTCAAAATAACAATTATACATATAACTGTAGGCATGTACAAATGTATCTGAATGGATTTTTAAGACATGTTCTGATATATTTTTTTACAAATTCGGGTCGTCCTACTGCGACCATTTTTGGACGTGGACACCACGCCGGCGTCGGACCAATGTTTGTTGGGAAGTCTTACTAAATAAGTCACAAATCAAAAATATCCTCATTGTTGGACAAACAATATTAATATTTACAAGTCCAATAGCAACAAAGCCAGGTCACCATCAGCCTTTGATTTCATAGTCTTTTTCAGCCCCCTCAAGCTAGTGTAAGTCATGCTGATGTTCACTCCGGTTTAGCTCGTTGCTTCACCTCCAACGACTTTCTTACTTTTACTTCCAGGTTCCACCATGATGCCAACAGAAAAAGCAAACGTCTTTTTTTTTCTTGTTGTGCTTTTTCTTGATGATAAGCAAACTGAAAAAGCTAACTGCACAGAAAATAGCTGTCAGCTGTAATGCAGGTATAAGAGCGCCTCCTAGGACACCTACCCGCTCCACATAACTGTTAAGTGCAGTATCTGGTCAGCAGAGGGCTGCAGAGTCGTGTCAAATATGAAACCAGTCAAGTTTCTAACCCCAACAATCACTGAGATCAATGTTAACATTCTAGCTTAATGTTTAAAAAACAACTGAGTGGTACTTCAATAACTTTACATAATACTAAATAAATGACAATACAAATAAAAAAATATTACTGTTATTTTCTATAATGTCCTTTGGTTTTGTTTGGTAGTGATTGCACTTTTAGCCCATTTTAGACAACTGTTAAAAAATTTACAAACAAAAGATAGTAAACTTCACTTGTTTACTGTAAATTAAGTGTTTGTCTGTTGATGTTACTTTTAAATAGCTGAATTAATACACCATAATCAGTGTTTTTGTTGGTTTCCTGCTCCTGTAAAGTTAATCCCAATAGCCATAATAACACCGGTGTGATGTAAGCTTGTTACGTATGTGTGTGTGTGTGTGTGTGTGTGCAGGTGTTACACACTTAGCCTAGGGGTGATGAATCGTCTGGTGTTGTCATGTTGGGGGGGGGGGGGGGGCGCTACAGTAAAATCTGCTTAGGGCCCCCACTTGGACCGTCTCTGTTCTCATCCATGTGAAGGACATGATGTCATTGGCGTATGAGTTAACGGTAAGCTCACGCTAAGCAGTATAAATAAACCCAGACTTTTTAATTTACCAGTTTAAAGAGAAAAAGTCAGTATGGTGGTGCAGTTGGAAACACTGTTGCCTCGCAGCAGGAGGGTTGCAGGTTTGAATCCTGGCTGCAGTCTTTCTGCGTGACTGGCTAAAACAAGTTGAAGTAAATTGTAAATGCATGTAGAAAATGAATAAATAATAAAAAATGAATAAACCTAATTTAGGGTTCTGTTTAACAAATGGATATTTGTTAAGCTTTTCAGACAAGACATTGGTTTCAGACACAATACTTCAGTATTTACAATCTGTTTGAGGATCTCTGGGTTACAACATCAGGGGAACTGACTGCATGAGGCTTATCTGCTGAATGCTGACCACAACAAACATTTTTATGCATTTTTATATATTTTTGCTAATTTAATATTACAGTAATTGCTAATGATCCCCCATCGTGACATACCTTATTTTGGGCTCAGATGTATCATGTTTGCATGCATCAATTAAAAATTAAAAAGAATGAAAGCAAAAACATAATAAACAAAAAATAAACACTTTAAAAGCATGACATATTCAATAAGCATAAGGTCAGAGGTCACAAAAGCTGTTTTTATTCTAAGAGGGAATACAGTGGTGTCTAAATTTTTGGAGTAATTTTCAGTAATTTTTCTGCTAAATGAGAAAATCAATGTTTGAAGAAACACCAGCAGTGTGTTTTTATTGGGTTTGGAGGCAGTTAAACCGCAGACTGCACTTAGAAAATCCTCTGATGGTCATTGTGAGACATCTAGTGGTAGCAAAGGGGAACTGCGGGTTCGTATATGAGTATTGCATGAGAACAATTTGGTGGTTGAACCCGCAGTTTCAAAGACTTTTAATGAAAATTAGATGAAGTTCATGCAGAGCATGAATATTTTGCGTTGATTTTCTTTTTTAGAACCTTTAAATTCACGCTGGCATGCTATCAATCAGCATGAGAGCTACAGCCTGCCTTTTTTTAACCTTTATTTTACCAGGTGAGATGTCTGAGAACATGTTCTCATTTACAAACATGACCTGGCCAAGAGGACTTGGAAGGAAGTACAAAAAAATAAAAATAAATAAATAAAAATTAAAAAATTAAAAATAATAGTAATATATAAATACTACAACAACAAAAAATAACAGATCAGACATAATAGGTTATCAACAGGCATTAGAAAAATTTGAATCTGGGTCTGAAAAATAAAAGAACATGTACACATGCATGCAGGAGAATCATTACATCATACAGTGAACTGAATGTGTGTGTGAGTGTATGTAAATAAGTGTGATCTGGGTGATCAACAAGAGCAGCAGTCAGCTATAATCTGGAGAAGTTTAGATCTAAAGATGTTTTGTAAATTGTTCCTATCATATGCTGCTGCAAAGTGGAAGGATTTCAACGACTGAGGTGTTGGAAATGATGAGCTGTATCACTAGACCTAGCGTTATTTTTATTATAGGCGAGGTGAAGAAACAAGAACAGATAGAGAGGTGTCTTGCCTTGTAGACAAAAATAAGCCAGTGATGGAGTCTCCGGGTGTCAAGGGAAGGCCAGCCCACGTTTATAGACTGCTGCATGCCACTTGCATATCCAATGCTTGGATTTTGTTTGAATTAGTGGTTTTTCTGTCCACCCGCCTCATAACAAATGACCACAAATAGTTGTTATAATTAAGCTCTGCAGGGTTTCCTGGGCCTAACGTTTGAATGTTTTGTTCACAAAGCCCCTCGATTCTGAACTTGGCCTGATGACCAGGTGCTCCAGCTGTCCTTTGGTGAGGAGTTCCTCAGGGAGGATGTTTAAAATCACATTTTTATTTAAGGCTGAAGCTTAAATGGGAGTGGGTCCACCCCCCTGGCTGAATGGAACGAGTCTCCAGACAATAATTTTTCCCATCAAAAGGAGATTTAATAGACAAGATTACTTTCCTCCAGTCCTCAAAATGTAAATCTGTGGGTCTTGAGTGGAAAATCCACTTGTTGAAGTTTTTCTTGGAGAAAGGTGGCATCTTTGCTGTTTTTCTTCAGGCAGATGCACACCTTCTTGCTGACATCCCTGAATAAGCTCAGAACAGATGGCGTCCTGATCTCAACATGGAATGATCTTCAGGAGATGGTTGCAATAGTCCTGCTGGACTTTCTAAAGCAGTGTTTCACAAAGTTAGGGTAGGCACCCCGGTGTCCGTCCCCAGTAGCTACACAGCGAGTCTTGAAATTATTTCTAGAATAGAAATAAAACTGAAAAACAATCATTGAAGTCCCACTGGTGTGTGAAATTTTGTTCTCTGCATTGACCCGTTCTCTGGGGAAGCAGTGAGCTGCAGACACAGCCACGCTCGGGAACCATTTGGTAGTTGAACCCCCAGTTCAAAGTCTTTGGTATGACCTAAAGCTATAATTTCAGTATAACTGTCACAAAACTCAACCAAATTGTCATAAATGTCTTCATCAATGGCTGCATTAGAATGGAGTTCCTGGCAAAGAGGGATTTGGTTATTAATTACGTTTCATCTCATCCCTCCTAGATTCAGGACTTTGCGCAAACTGATCATCTTTCTGTGTAAAGTCAGATTGTGACCACAAGAGGGCGACCTTAGACAGGAAAAGGTTGAAGCACGACGCTTCTGTGCGGGGGACTATGACGTCACTCCACAAAGGAAAATTCGGTGTTTGTTTCAACCAGTTGCTCTACAGGTTTTACACACGAGCCGGAACTGATAATGGGCTTCCTGCCTGGAATAGGGCCTGGGCGATGGCATTACGTTGCTGTGCAACAACAGAGAAAGTTTCAAACGGAGGGGGGGGGGGGGGGGGGGGGGGGGGACAGTAAGGGACTAGATTTATTTTCAGTTCAATTCAATTTAATTTTATTTATATAGCGCCAAATCACGACAAGAGTCGTCTCATGGCACTTCACATAATAAACATTCCAATTCAGGTCAGTTCATTAAGCCAATCAGAAATAATGTTTCCTATATAAGGAACCCAGAAAATTGCATCAAGTCACTGACTAGTGTCAGTGACTATACAGCAATCCTCTAAGCAAGCATGCAGCAACAGTGGAGAGGAAAACTCCCTTTTAACAGGAAGAAACCTTCAGAGAATCCTGGCTCAGTATAAGCAGCCATCCTCTACGACTCACTGGGGATCGAGAAGACAGAGCAGTCATACACACACACACACACACACACACGCACGCACGCACACACACACACAAACACACAAAGTAATGTGTCTATAGTTATATTGTGATGTCTTAGTAAATATTCTATTTGGTGAGAGATAAACTTTATTGTATGTATCCTAGTGGATCTATAATTAAACGGATAAACTAGTAGTAGCACATCCAACATCAAGGAAAGCAAAAAGTTATTATCAGGAGAGGGAGAATGTTAAATGACATTTTCATGAAGCTCTGGTGTGAAACTTGATGGGTTTTAGAAGGTGCGCTTGTTCTGGTGTCCTGAAGCAGCTTCGAGCCTCCACCCAGCTCCTACAGCTGTCTGCCCGCCCAGTGCGTGGGTCTGCTCGGAGAGATAACAGCAGAAACGGGCAGGGTGTGCCCGCAAATTCGAGGCGCCTGTCAGTGCATGCGCACGCTCTCTCTGTCTCTTATAAAAGATGACGTAGCGCAGCTCCAACTTCGACTCGCTGTGACGTTGGTGATTCCTGTGGGCGTTGCTGCTCCGCTGCCTAACTTTGAGAAGTGCTGTGGGAGAGAGGAGCGCAGGAATCTGTCGAGCTGAGGCGGAATGTGGCGCGGATTTCGCTGCGCTTTCCTCTCCTCCTTCACTTTGTTGTTGTGACTGACTTCGGTTGATTTTCGGCGTCATCAAACAGAAACATGCAGCCTGACGCGGAGCTGCGCCCCTGCCGCCTCTAGCAGGCTGTTTACCCGCGTGGAAACGCTCAGTCGCATGTCGTGTTTGCGCAGAAGCTCCGTGCGTAACGCCGCCTCTCCATGGAGGACTGCTGGAGGAGCCGCTCACTGCGATCAACTCTTTAACTGACACTTGAAACGAGATGAATCTAGACCAGGACGGAATCTCATTCCCGGTTCCCAGCTTTTGTTCCGGCAGAGAGACCGTCAGCGGGGAACATCCCAGCAGCACCGGCGCTGGAGGAGGCGGCGGCGCTGCCGGGATCCCAGCAGCCGGGACTTTCTGGCAGGACCCGCTGCTCCCAGGCAGCAGGGTCAGTCCCACCTCCGGGGATGAGCTAATGGAGGGCGGGGGGTTGCTGTCCACCTGTAAGCCCGGTAAAAGCAGACCGGTGACGGTGGCTTACGTGGTGAACGGCGAGGCGAGCCCGCAGAACAACGCGGAGAGCATGGCCCTGCAGTGTCTGAAGGACGCGTGCGACCGGGTGGGCAGCAAACTGGACACTGTCAACTTTGGGAGGCTGGACTTTGGGGAGACCACAGTTTTAGACCGGTTCTACAACGCAGGTGAGTCAAAATTTGTGGGTCCCTAGGCCTCCAGTCACGCACGGGTCTGAGGTCACATCTCCTCTGTGCTCACCTCATCTCCAGTAAATCACGTTGCTCTGGGTTCGTCTCGCGCACGCACACCCAGATCGGCATGTCTGGACATGAAGCTTGCAAGTCGTCTAAGCTCAAACAGAAGACATGAACATTCAGGGCTGTTTTTTCCTGTTTCATTTACAAAAGTGGAGGTTTTATTTCTTCAGAGATCCACAGGGTCACTTTCAACTGAAGTCCAGAGATGATCTGATAAACATTTTATCAACTGCAATGCAATACATGCATTTAATTGTATTTTTGCTTATATATTTGTAGTTTGGGGCTCTGCAGCTGATGCATTATAAAATGCTAAAGCGTTGCAGACTCGGTTGTTCATAGTAAAATCAAGGGTCCTTCTGCAGACAGCCAGGATAAAACCAATGCTCTGACCCACACATCCTATTAAAGTAACACATTCAATATTCCAGAAAACAGAAGTTTTATCTAACCCAGCCTAAACACGCTTAACTCCTCTCCCTACAACAGAATTCCCCTTACAGGAGTTTTATCTGAAGGGCAAAAGGGGAAAAATATGAGATTTCTTTTGTTCTAAAAACAAAATATATGAATCCACTAAGTCTGTTAAGGATGGGAACAGTTGATGCTGCAACAGTTGACCAATATTGCAATCACCTACCTGGATCAATTACAACAAATCTGAGCATTCTTCTTTTGAAGAGGTAGAAAATAATCACTTGAGTCATTTATTTATTTCAGTTTGGCTAATTGTATCCAAGAATGATGCAAAAATGGAAGATTTGCTGTTAGAGACTCAGTAAAAAAATTTAATTGATTTCTCAAGATAAATTAACTAACTGGCTTCCAGTCAGCAGAAAGTCCAAACGTCAATAATGACATAAGCCTGTAAGTGTGGAGAAATGATAAGTGGATAATTTATACTTTCAAAGTCATATAGGTCTTTATTGACTCATTCTTTCTTATAAATTCCACTATTCTTGTGGGATTTTTCCATATTTAAATGTGCACATTTTTTTTTAATCAGCAAAAATAGAATAACAGCTGCTTATTGGAAACATGCATGTCTGGTTCTCTTATGTGTTTCTGCATTATTCACAGCAGAAGAACAGGGCGGTATAATGTTGGGGTGTTGATTATGAAGCCACAATTAAAAACACTTTTTATTGCAGCGAGCTTGGCTAATAATTCTTTAGATAGTTTTAAAGCAAACTATTGTTTTTGAGTCATAAAGCAGCGGCGGCGTTCCCCTCGGTGTAAATGACATTTTAAATGTCAAAACTGAGCAGATGCAAGAGATAAATTAAAGCTGGTGCCATTTAAAAAAAACTGTGTTTAGAGAGGAAAAAGGTGTAAATATGAATGTTCCCTTTCATGTAAATTAAAGCTGTTTTTAGGTTCTAGGCTCGTTTCTGTATCCTGGTGAGATTCACGCAGGAATAGCAGGAAACGTAAAAATTTAGCTACTTTTTCGAGTTGACGGGCTTGTTGCTTCTTGCTGTTCCAGGTGCAATAAGTTCCCCGTGTTCTTTTGTCATCTTTCTCAGAACTACAGAACTCCCGGTGCACCGGGGAGGGCCGAGGCATTTTCCCGGAAAAGTTGCTTTTAGCTGTACTTCTTCATCCGTTTTCCTACGCAAATGTGCACGAGAGCGCACAGAACAATGAGCTCCGAGGACGAGCTGTGACTTCTGACACATTCTAATAGAGGGCGTTCCATGTTGTCCTCCAACAGCCTCCTCACATGATGCTGCGCACAAAAAAGGACAAGTCTTCAGGCTCGGATCCATAAAAAAAAAACAAGATAAAGAAGCAAAAGTTTGACTCCATCGTCTTAGTCAGTTCATTCATGTTTTATGCACACGTTTCTTTGTTCTGCTCTCCAAAAGAAAAACAAAACATTTGACATATCTGAGGACTTTATTCTTAGACCTACCTACATCTTTTACTTGTCGTCAACTCGCTGGCTTACTGCAGTGAGACAATTTTCTACTCAGATTTATATAATTAGAGATTTATGCAGCAATCCTTGGACATGCGGTTCTATTTATATGCGTGTCCCTGCTGCTAAACCCATATTCAGGGATGTTCTGAGGTTTTTTCTGCAGATTTTGACGCTTTTCTGTGGACACAGATTAGTTTATGTTTACACAACCATTATATGATTCAAGATGGTGCCTTGCAGGGTTACTTTTTTCTGAGGAAGAGCCTGAAACATCACCCGGTGCTGATAAACAAGCATCTTGTGAAGCAGATTTGTATTTTTGTTGCATCGGTTAACCAACTTGCCCAGTTGGTTAAAGAATTTTGTGATCTTTTGAGGAAAAGTGAAGAGCAGTTATTACCTCACCTGCTGCAGATGCTTTTAATTCTGACCAAAGCGACGAGCCGACTGCTCGTTGGATCAATTTTGCATCTCGTGGTTATTTGCAAAGATTTGTCAGTGACTTGTGCACATTTGGTGCAGCTCCAAAAGGATTATCATATTTCTGCAAACTCTGCAGGTCTAAACCATTAATGAAGCTTTTTTTTTTATTATGTAGACTTTGTATATTATAGATTTAAATGAAAGTGTGCTACAGTCTTTTATCTGGGTCTTCTTTTAAGCTCAAAACAAGTTGTTTATGAAGATTTCGTTTATCACGTCGAGTTTCAGTTTCCTTGGAGACGCCGTTGCCGTCTTTGTCTTTTGCATCACCTTGCTTGATTTGTGGTGATTAGGCGTTACCTGGCTGTGTATAGAATATTTACAGTGGGATCTGTGTTTTTATTTACTGTGACCTTTTGCAGTGCTCCAGCTGATTTGCATGTACCGTGCATGCATGCTGATAAGTTTAGTTAGCATGTGTTTTGCAAACTAGCACAACCATTTTTTGTTGATGTAGAGTCCCTCCTACTCCGCTTGTTAAGTGTGTGTGGTTTACTCGTTTATTCAATACATTTGCAGTGTTCTCTAGTGTAAATCGATGCCTTATGAGTAATTTAAAAAAAAAATCTGTGATGCTCCTGGGATGTAGAAGTTTGCTGGTGCAGATGTGGGCTGAAAGCAGAAGGATTGCTCATTATTATTAACGATATGCACACACCTTGCTTCTGATTGGCTAACAGAATGCATTCAGCCTTGTTGCAAAGTCACCAACACACTCTTCACTCTCTCTCTACTCAATGACAATAAGAGCCTTCCAGTGGGCGGGCGTGAGCCAAGATGAGCAAGGCCATAAATGCAAATTCACAGTGTGAGGATTTTCAAATCCTGGAGTTTCACCGTCTGTTTTCTATCAGAAGCTAACGCAGGAGATGGGTGTAGGATATTGTTTTCATGTTGAGCCTGCAAGAACAACTCAGAGTGACCCATTATAATCAGAAATAATCATTAAAATGTTTTTTCAGTCGCACCTTTAAGCTTGATCAAAATGAAGGATCATGAGGGAAAAAAACTAGTTGGAACTGGAATGTGCTCTTAATGTTAGAAATTACATTTCTCTATCATGTTTTATAATTGTTGCTAAGCTAAGTGCTACCAGCAATGACATTTATTAATAAACAATGAATATTTAATCCAGTGATTCATTTAAAGTGCTGTTTTCATCGTCTAGACAAAACGCGTGCACAGTTGGGCTGCATCCTGTTTTTGCAGCTCATTTGGTCATAATTTTAGAACGCTTTATTTATCTGGAAATGATCTGTAACAGGCTGAATATTAAGAGTTTAGTGACTTCTGAAAGCTTTCTGGTTCCAGCTTTTTAGAGACACAGGTATGGCGTCCTGGGAAAGCGTTCAGCTGCACAGAGTGCAGATGTAATTCCTCCTCGGTGGACCAGATCCTCCTGCGCCCTCTGTTGACCCCGCTGGGTGTTGGCGAACAGCTTCTCGTCAAGCAGAGCGTTAAGTACAGACATCTGCTGGTGATTCCCCAACTGTGAGGCCACGTTGCTCCAAAATCCCATCAGCTAAGTTGTTTATCCCTCCTCCTGTTTACTCTGCATGCTTGGCTGCATTTCAGAGGTTAGAGAGCACAAGGTCAGAAAGATTTGGCCCGCGAGGCACTCCCGGGCATCTGGAGAGTTCTACCTCAGAGGAGGAGTGGGCTGAAGGCATGTGGATTTTAGTCATGCTGATACTTTTTTAAGGGATGGAAGTTGTGGAGCCAAATCACAAGCTGACAACAGTCTCTAATTTATGCGTTGGGATGAGTGTCCGAACTACTAGTGCTGGAGCACTTGTTCGCTTGCTTAGCTGATCAGGTAGATGTTGTCTTTTGCAGCCTTTTGCACTGGAGCATCTGTCTTTTCATCATAAAATCACATTCCAGTTATAGCTTCTGGGTTTATCAAACGTCCAAAACACGCACGATAAATAAAAATCAATAAATACATGAGCTCCACCGTGAAGCAGAGTTGCATCTTCTGGTTTTGTTCTTTGTTTGAGAAGAAACTCAACCTTGTTCAACAGAGGAGGGCAATAAAGGGTATCCATGAGGCAAAAAAAGTTTCCAGGGATTCATAAATAAGATGCTTGTAAAAATAATTACAGTCGTTGGTAATGAAAGCTGGTTGAGGAAGCTCAAAGAACAAGAATGTAAGTGGAAAATGAAACTGCTTGTTGCACAGCACCACTAACAAAAGTCCGGCTCATCAACAGTTAATGTTCCATCTTTTAAAAGGTCAAAAACAACAATGATGCTGTTGTCATACTTCGTTGTTGTCGTAAGTCAAAATACTTTGATCAAACTTTGAGAAAAATTACATTTCTGTAGATCACTTCCTTAACGGCCTCAGTTGGGAGAAATGGTTTTCCCAAAACTGACATGCTAAAGCAAGGGTGGGCAGTCCTGGTCCTGGGGGCCGCTGTCCAGCAGGTTTTAGCTGTTACTGTGCTTACACACCTTGTTTGACTCTGCTGGTGATTAACAGGCAGCTGCAGAGCCTGGTGAGCTGCTGAACAAGTGA